CAAGGCGAGCGCTCTACCACTTGAGCTACAGCGCCACTTCCGGTTTTCTGGTGGTTTATTGGAGATAGGAGTCTCACGGTCGCTCCTGCCCGGGCTGGCTTTGAACCGCGATCCTCAGGTCTCAGCCTCCTGAGTAGCTAGGATTACAGGCGTGAGCCACCAGCGCCCGGCTCTACACTTGCAGATTTTTTTGTGGTTAATTGGATATAGGTATCAATGGACTTTTCCTGCCCTGGCTGGCTTTGAACCTCAATCCTCAGATCTTAACCTCCTGAGCAGCCTGGATTACAGGCGTGAGCTCCTGGTACCCAGCATTGATTCCCTGTTACCACCTGTGCCTCTGAGAATCAAGCCTTTCATTACTGGTGGTGGAAGTCAGTTTGCTGTCGACTTCAGCTCCTCCTCCCTCTGTCCACCGCTCTCAGTGCTGGGGTTAGAGCTGCGGCAGCAGTGGCTGAGGGGTTTGCTTTGGAAGCTGGCCCTGCCTGTGAATGCTGCTTCCCTGGCAGTTGCCAGCAGCAGAGGTGCATTTTCACAGCTGGTGGCAGAGCCGGCTTTCCTGCTGCATGTGCCCAGTGAGAGCTGGATACAACGTCCTGACCGTGTGTGTGTACACGTGGGCACGTGCGTGTGCACCCATACTGCAACTTAGCTTTTTTACTCAAAGTGGGTGCTCTACTTCCTGAACCACTTGTAGCTTTTTTGCTGGTCAATTGGTGATAGGTCTCACAGACTTTCCTGCCTGGGCTGGATTTGAACCAGGATCCTAAGTTCTTAGTAGCTAGAATGACAGGCTTGAACCACGGGCATGCAGCCCAAAGCCACCCCCCCTCCCCCGTCTTTTCACGTGTACCCAGACAGCTCAGCGTGGCAGGCAGCTGCAGGGAGACTGGCAGGTCCCGCAAGGGCCCTGAGCAAGGAGGGGCTGGAGCACCTGTGATGGGCAGATCTTAATGCAATGGGAACAGGGCCTGGGCATTTGTACCGCCTCCCCCATGCTGTAGGCCCCAGAACTGGAGGCTGGGAGCTGACCGGCTGGGAGGGCACTCTCTGTGCTGTCCATGGCTTGGGGAGCTCTCTGGCCTGCCCTGAGCACCTGGCTGGCCTTGGGCCTTGCTTCCTGGCCGCTTCCATGGTCACAGCACGGTGGGGACCCAGGACCAGCCCAGCAGTCCCAGGACTTCGACGACACAAGTTTCTGTGCCGGGGGGTCATCTGTTCACGCAACCAGCCATGTGCTTTTACACCAGAAGTTATATTTTATTTACCAGTTAGAGGATTAACACATAGAGTTACAAGGTCAATAGAGGCCTTCCAGTGGAAGCACTTTATTTGGTTTAATTTCATCTCCAGAGACAAACGAGCAATTCCAGGAAGTTTACGGCGGTGGTGCCGGGCCTTGAGATGCTGCGATGCTCCAAGGTCAAGAATTAGTGCAACACACACACACACACTCACGCACATGTGCACACACACATTTAAAGGGGCTCCGTGTTGGGTTAAAACAGTTCAGTTGCATCATTAAAGAAGTGTGTTGGATGTTAGAAGCACAGGAGGCAGAGCCGACAGGAAACACCGAACCACAGCTTGCGGAAACACACTTGCACGAACCACAGCTTGCGGAGACACGCTTGCACTAACGAAGGTGACTTGGTTGCTGGGTGAACCCTCCACGCACGCTCTGCACGGCCGTCACGAGAGGTCAGGGGAGGCCCCTGCGCCCCTTCACGAGACAGGGCCACTGCTAACCGTGGAATTGTCCCGCTAGCGGCGTGGACAGGAGGCACAAGAGCTGAGCACGCAGCGTCCACTGCAGCGGCTCCGCAGCGGGATTCCCAGCGCCCCGCATCCCCGTCCCCCCCCCGCCCCCGCCCAGCAGCCGGGAAGCAAGTTCTCAAGCACCGTTCTTCCTTCTCTAGACACAGGTAGTATGGAGTTAGGAAAGCAAGCACAGGCACGGACACGGGCACACCACTTCAGCCTCGGCGCGCATCAAACCCACAGCGCTGCCGCGGCTCCTGTGGTGCCCTACGCTGGAAGGAATGAAACCTACCCTGACCCATGATAGGGAAGATGTGTTCACATGCATGATGCGGGCTCTGAAATCACACTGGGAACATCTGGACTGGGGGCGGTGAGGTCCGCCAGGCTTGGGACTGCCCCCGGGGTCCTGGATCGCCACTTAGGAGCCTGCCCAGAGCCACGGGGTCCCAGGCCCCGGCCTGTGGGCTGCACACTGCACCTTCTGGCTTGGGGGCAGCCCTGCAGCTCGATGCTGGCCTGAGCATCCCGCTTCCTCTCCACCTGCTCTCCGCAGGGCAGGGTGCGGGGAGTGCCGTCGGCCCCGGTGCGGTCCTCATTTCCAGAACCCCAAGCACCCGACCCCAGCACCGCTCCTGCCCCTGGGGCCTTGCAGTGTCCTTTCCTTCCCGGTCCGGAGACTCCCTATCTCCCGTCCACGGACACCAGGAATTGGGGATGCTGGAGGTGGCTGCCTGGGTCTCGCGAGAGGATGAAGAGGAACGCGCGCTCTCTCCCGCTTGCTCCTAGTGGGATCACGGACTCAGGCGTGGCCGTGGACAGCGGTGGCCATCTTCTCGTTTTCTGCACCAAGTAGGAGTACGCCTGGTTGACTGCTGACTCCGATGCTCGGTGACCTCCGTTTCCCTCGGGGGTGGGCGGTGGCCGAGGGGCTGCGGGAAGGAGCTGGGGACAGGAGGTGGACAGGAGGCGGCCGGGCAGGCTCCTCTTGGGACTCACAGAAGACAAGCCTTCACGAGCTGGCCCCAGGGGACACTGGAGGGCCAATCAGACAGCCGGGCGGGGCGGGATGGGCGGGACGAGACAGCAGGGCGGGCCCACATGCTGGACTCGGTGTGGACCCCACACACTGGGCTCTGGACGGAAGCTGGGGTGCGGGCTGGGGGACCCCGTGCTACCGCAGGCCCCACAGGCCGGGTCAGAGGGGAGCCGGAAACCCAGGAAGGCCTCCCCTCCCCCCACCCAGAGGACGCATTTGTTAACCAGGCCCCGGGGCCCGTGGGTGCCGGACGGGGTCACCCAGGCCCCCACGGGCACCGTCGTTCACAGAAGGCACAGTGTGAGATGTGGAGGGGCGCGGGCGGGCACGGGCAGCCGCCGCAGCTCGGGGGCCGGTGCGGCAGGGACAGCGAGCCTGCGGACAGCATGCCGGGAAGACAGGGTGGTGGCCGGGACTGCGGTGAGCAAGGCGGGGCCCGGCCCGCCCCGGCGGCCTGCAGGGACAAGCAGACGGACGGACAGATGGACGCGTGGAAGTGGATGGACGGGTGGAGTGCGCGCGGCTCCTGGACAGGCTTGCGGCTCCAGCACGGCCACCTTTAGGAGTCTACAACACAGAAGACAGGAAGGAAACGGCCTGGGTTAGAGAAGGCACTGGCGGAGGCGGCGTTGTGCGGCGGGGTGCAGGCCGCGCCGCCAGGGACAGACGTGGGGTTACACGGGGTGGGGTGTCACCAGGAGGAACTTTCACTGTTTTCGTTCCCGTTTTTAGCAGGCTTCGCTTTGGAGCTAAGAGCCACCCTCTCTGCTCCTCTCTCTAGTCCCTGAGTTTTTTCAGTGCTAACCCTGGAACCCCGGGCTCGCGCTCGCTCGCAGTCTCTCCACCCCAGCTGCTGCCCAGCCTGGATTGAACTTTTTTAAGATGGAGTCTATTGCTCAGGCTGGCCTGCAACTCCCAATCCTCCGCTTCTGCCTCCCAAGAGTCAGGATTACAGGTGTGTGTTGCTGCACCCTGTCCTGAATATGTTTTTTTTTTTTTGTCGGTTGTGGGGCTTGAACTCTGGGCCTGGGCGCTGTCCCTCAGCTCTTCAGCACAAGGTGAGCGCTCTACCACTTGAGCCACAGCGCCACTTCCGGTTTTCTGGTGGTTTATTGAAGATAAGAGTCTCATGGACTTTCCTGCCCGGGCTGGCTTTGAACTGCAATCCTCAGATCTCAGCCTCCTGAGTAGCTAGGAAGACAGGCGTGAGCCTTAGGCGCCGGGCTCTAACTGTTCTTCTGAGAGGAAGAAAGGATGTGGGTGCTCCAGATTTGGTGCAAGGAGTCTAACAAGGCCAGATTTGCTCTTGCACGGGACCTCGCGGCTTCTCTGCCGTCAAATGCAATGTCTCTGCTGAGACTGTGCACGTAGCAACGACAGTGAAAGTTCTCCACGGGAGGAGGTGAGCGCACAGGACAGAGCCCCAACCCCGAGGGACAGAAGGCGCGGGGACAGGGACACAGTGCATGGAGGAGGCAGAATTTTTAAAAAGCATTTGGCCAGAAACATTCCCCATCACTAAAGAGGAAAGGTTAAATGTTCATCACACAGAATCATTTTCTTTTGGAGAGCAGAAGAATCACTTAAACTACACAACACTGAGGAAAATAGGTCGTTTATTAGAGAGGCAGTGCGGGATACAACTAGAAAAATCCAGACAGTCTTTTCTTTTAGGATAAGAAGAGAAGAGAAACAACGTGGACCGTATTCAAACAAAACTTACTCAGAACCCAAGTGTCTATAATAAACTCAAGTGTGGCGCGGCCAGCGGGGACCGAGCTAGAGTGCAAGAGTCTTGGGCCACCCCGGCAGTTATAAAAACAAAAAGGTCATTAGGCAGCAGAATAAACCAATAAAACCAACAGACAAAGAGACTGACACATTAAAACAATGAATCCAAGGCTTCTGTTTTAGGCTTTAAATTGCAGTACATACAAATATATTCTGTGGAGAGAATTATGAACATGTTTAACAGAAAGCAATTTAAACACACACACACACCACACACCACACACACACACACACACACACACACACACGAAGTCAAAACCCACTTGGACATTAAATATTTTGGCAATTACTAAGTACATTATAGACACCTCTCTCTCATACATGCACGCACGCACATGCACACACACACGCGCACACACACACACACACACAGAAAGCTTCATGATTACAAATTACACTTGCGTTAGGGCTGTCCTGGGGCAGGCGGCCTGGCCAATGGCGGCATGGGGGGGGCACACGGGGGCGGGGCTCCTGTGTCCCCACTGCCTAGCTCCAGGTATGCTTTCTAACTACCAGGAGAAAACCAGCAGCTGAGATTCTGCCTTTTTATTTTATCGGAGAACCATGGGAGACAAAGTTCGCTCTGGATGGAAATGGAAACTCCTGATTCTTTGGCCATTTTCTACCACTGACTAGATGGGAAAATCTAAAGTCAGTCTCTCTCTTTCTCAACTCAGACCAAGGGGTGAAGAGGGCAGCTATAGTTACTTTAGAACTTGGCAGGATTCCAAGTGCAAACCTGCTACACAGCAAGACCCTGTCTCAACAAATCCAAGAGACTCGTATCTCCAATGAACCTGCAGTGGAGCTATGGCTCAAATGGTAGAACACCAGCCAAGCCAGCAAGCCTGAGCCCCTGAGCTCAAACTCCTGTACAGGTTTAAAAAAAAAAAAAAAAAAGCAAATTTCCACATGGCCCAGATTAACTTTACTTGATTCTGTCTATGGTTAATCAGATAAAATGAGCCAGAAATTCCAAAACAATTTTCAGTAAGTTCAAATTGTTGATTTTATAATGGTCAATGATTATTAAACAACGAATGAATCCTTCTTTGCAAAGGGGCTTTCTGGAATGCCGTGGTTCTCTCTCTCTCTCTCTGAGCCAGTCCCAGAGCTTGAATTCAGGGCCTGAGCACCCTCCCCGTGCTTTTGTGCTCCAGATTAGTGCTCTACCACTTGAGTCACAGCTCTACTTCTGGCATTTTGCTGGTTAATTTATTAGAATCCAGAGTCTCACAAACTTTCCTGCCTGGGCTGGCTCTGACCTCAGCCTCCTGAGTAGCTGACAGCTAGCGAAGCTAGTGTCACAAACTCTCCCACAGAAATGGCACCTGGAGTGGGAGGGCGGAGGGGCCGCTGGTCTTGTCAGCAGCAGCTCGGCTGTGCACGCCTTGTCATGTTCTGTGTGGGCTGGGACCATGCAGGCTTTTGGTTAATCATGTGACAATCTAGGGCTACTTGCAGTGAAAAGTGGAGCTTTGAGGACCAACGTTCCTCGGTCTTTCTCCTGGGTGGGGCGCTCATTTCTGCCAGGTTTGGAATGACAGGTTGTAAACGCGGGCAAGCTGGCCCTGCTGCGTTGATCACGTTACAAAACATAAGGCCCTATGGTGTTGGGTCAGGGAGACAGGGCCAGACATGCCAGCCCAGACTCTCCCGTGCCCCACGCAGGCTCACTTAGATTCTAAAGTACTCATGAAAAGCTAGAATGCAACTTTTTTTTTTTAATGTCTGGATGGTGCCGGGAGAAGCCACGTGAGTCGGGTGTGAGCGGACACACTCCACCGGCAGCTGCAAGCTTCCCACGGGAAATCAAGACACAGTTGATTATGGCGGAGAACCAAGACACAGGACCCCGGGGTGCTCGGGGCGGGGACCAGGCACTTGCTGACCTGTCTTTTGAAGAACCGCTGGCCAGAGCCACCACCGACTCTTCCAAGCGTTTACAGGTTCGGTTTTTGGTTTTAGTGGGATTAAATATAGGTCTTAGCACCTTTGGCATTTCTGTCCAGACAGACTTCGACGTAGGACGTGGGGACGTAGCCCTCCTCGTCCTCACCCCTCCGGATGCGGGTCCAGCCGTCGCCCCTGTCTTCCTCTATGACGTACAGCGTCTCACCTTCCGCCACCGAGATGGTGCCTTCGTTCTGGCCTGCAGGAACAGGGCCAAACCGGTGGGGAGGCCGCACTCTCACCTGTACCCACCCACCCGGGCTTCCCTCCCCGCCGCCCTCAAACCTCCCGTTCCCCCTGGAAACTTCTAGGTTCCCATCTTAATAAGCAGTTCATGGACTCCTGCCTGGGCTGGCCTCAAACGGCGATCCTCCGATCTCAGCCTCTTGAGTAGCTAGGATGACAGGCGTGAGCCCCTGGCGCCAGGCGGGCTCCCTGCTTTCTAAGGGACCCTACACATGGCACAATTAACCTGTGCTCCAGCTCCACCAATTACACCCCAATCAACGCACCAAAGTTTCTGCCTCCTCTCTCCCCTCCCCCACAGGCACCTGCCACTACCTGCTGCAGATGCCCAGCCTCTGGCCCAACAAGGAGTCTCCACGGGATGAAGGAAGGTACCCCTGGGCTGGGCAGCTGGGCCAGTGCCATTTGCATGTGGATTTGCCTACAGATGGGCCAAACCCTCTGCCTGTCTCCCCCCCCCCGCCCGTGCTCAAGCCACGCCCACCCACTGCCACTAAGCCTTGGAATACATGTGTGCCTCTCAGTAAGTATTGACGAAAACTAAGTGAGCGCTAGCCAGGGCTCATCTCAAGATGTGTGAAAAAGAACAGCAAATTAAATACATCAAAAATACAAATAGCCGGGCGCCGGTGGCTCACGCCCGTCCTCCTAGCTCATCAGGAGGCTGAGATCTGAGGATCGCAGTTCAAAGCCAGCCCAGGCAGAAAAGTCCATCAGACTCTTATCTCCACTGAGACACCCGAAAACCGGAAGTGGCGCTGTGGCTCAACGTGGGAGAGCGCTCGCCTTGAGTGGAAGCGCTCAGGGAGTTCGAGCCCCACAACTGACCAAAAGAAAGAAAGAAGTTGCGGTTGCGGGGTCGGGCAGGGAGGCGGCGGCCCCGGCTACCTTCAAACGTGTACAGAGCCTTGCAGGTCCCGATGGCGGGGAGCGGCTCCTCGTCATCGAACTCGTCGTCGAAGTCCGTGGCCAGCACCTTGACCTGGCTCTCCTGGCTTTGCTCCTCCGTGTAACTGCCATCTGGGCTGCTCAAGACAGAAAGACACGCGGCAACTATAGCGACCGCCCGGCGCTGCCCGGGCCCGGAATGTGCTGGAATGGAAAGGGCACCCCAGGCTTGTTTTCAGGTGGCCTGGGCTGGGGGCCGGGGCCGGGGCCGGGGCGGGGGCCACACGCATACTCTACCTCTCCCGGTCCTGCGCGCAGGTGTGTCCGGTCGGGGGCGGCTGGCCGTCGTACATCCCGCTCTGCCGCCGCGCCTGCTCGCCGCGGGCCTGGAGCCTGCCTTCCACCTCGGCCAGCCAGGCCTGAAAAGAGCCAGCGCGCTCGCTCAGCCCGGCCGTGCTGGCTGCCGCCGGCCGCCCCGCCCTGCCCCGTGCACAGCTGCACCGCTGCAGACGTGGCCGGCAATGCCAGCGGGCGAGCGGCTGGGCTCCAGGTAGCAGGGTGACCCGGGCAGGCCGCCCCCAGGAAGGGGGCCTCTTACCGTAACTCAGGCCGCAGCCTGGCCCCCAGGCCCTGCCCGCCCGCCCCTACCACGACCCCCACGGCGTCCCCCACGCCCGCCTGTCCCTACCTCAAATTTCTGGGCTTCAAATCGCAGCTTCTCGATGTTCTGCGCGGCCTCGGCGAGCTTGTGGTCCAGGCTGGCGGGGTCCCCCATCTGCGGGTTCTTCAGGTACACGTCCTTCATCTTGGTAATGGCGTCTCTGGAAACAGCAGAGAGCAGAGTGTGGAATGGCGGCCGCGGCCCCCACAAGGGAGCCACGGGACGGCCAATGGGGATGGGATGGCACCAGCTTGCATTCCAGAGCTCTCCGTGCCAGGTGCGTGGCAACCACCGGCTTTCATTTTGGAACTTCCCTTGCAAGTTTGGTGACAACATGGCCTCGTACTTTTTCCGTGTGAGTTTGGTGACAAGATTGGCTCTCATTCTAGAGCTCTCCATGCAAGTCCTCTGACAACACTGGCCTTCATTCTAGAAGTCTCCATGTGAGCTCAGTGACAACTTCATCTTGTCTCTGTCCTGCCCCACACAACCACAAAACCAAACTGTAGAGAGCCGACACCACTCGGGGGGCCCTGGGCCGCGGGTGAGACCCTCTGGATAAAGCACAAATAGTTGCTGCGGGAATTTCTTTTCTTTTCTGTCGGTTGTGGGGCTTGAACTCTGGGCCTGAGCACTGTCCTTCAGCTCTTCAGCTCAAGGCGAGCGCTCTACCACTTGAGCCACAGCGCCACTTACGGTTTTCTGGTGATTCATTGGAGATAAGAGTCTCATGGACTTTCCTGCCTGGGCTGGTTTTGAACTATGATCTTCAGATCTCAGCGTCCTGAGTAGCTAGGACGACAGGCGTGAACCACCAGTGCCCGGCTAGTTGTTGAAAGTGTTGAGCAAATGACTCTTTGCTAGAGGTAAGGAGCCCATTGTAACTGTGCACACTAGTGCACAACTGACATCCCGGCACTCGGGAGGTTAAGGGAGGAGGCTCCGGAGCTCAGGCTTATCTGAGCTATGTAATGAAGTCCTGCCTTTAAAACAAAAAACACACCCAAAGACGACCTTCAATCAACATCACCAAATTTAATCCAAACCTATCATGCCCTACAGACCAAAACAGAAGATACAACGGAATGATGGAAACTGGTGTAACTGAAAGTAGGGATGGGACGGAGAATTGCACAGGTGCACACAACATCTCCTGAGGCTCGGAGTCCACACGGCCGGCATCCGTGCAGCGCTGGGAAACTCCCCACGCCAACAGCCCCTTTCCCTTGCTCTACTTCTCTTTTCTCTCCTTGTGGTACTGGGAGCTGAAATGTACCTCTCAAGCCACATCCCCAGACTCTACCTTGTTATTTCTTGCATATCTGCCTGGGCTGGGCTGGCCTGGGATCCGCTTATTTACACTTCCCATGCAGCAAGGATGCCCCGCTGTGTCCAGGACTCATTGAGATGAGGTCTCTGGTTTTGTCCAGGCTGGCTTTCCTTCTGAGCCACCCAAGTAGCTTGGATTACGGGCAAAAGCCACCATGCCAGCTTTTCCCTTTCCCCCTACGGTGCGCATCGCTTCCCCACATTACACAATTTATCTAGTGTCCGCTTGTTGTTTCATCCGCCCCTGCTTACAGGCATGTGCCACCGGTGCTGAGCTAGTGGGCTTGGGTTAGGCGGCCCTCTTCGCGTGCATGTGTGGAGAGAAGGTCTCACTAGGTAGTAGCTCAGGCTGGCCTTGAACTCTCATCCTCCTGCCTCAGCCCGAGGCGACACTCGGTGCCATTGCGAGTGTTCACCCTCGTGGAGAACGTAAGCAGGCCTTTGTTCCACAGGGAGAATCTACGGATGCACTCACCTTATGTACTTGGTCTCACGTGTAATAGATAACATCTGCCCTGAGCAAACCAGCGAAGGGACAGCACGTAGGCCCCGAGTCCAAGGCCTAGTACCTCCCGCCCCTCCTGGAGCAGCCCAATAGCCGGACCTGCCACCGGAATCCCTGTGGTCCCTGGTGGCAGATCTGCCCTGTCCCTGTGCGTCCACTCTACCTTTGGTCCATCTCCTTGTGGATTTCTTTGTTGAGGTCATCGACTTTCTGTTGGAGCTTCTTCCTCCTCTGTTCGGGCGGGAGGTTGCTGAAGTCCTCGGGAGTGGAGCCCTGGGGGTGCAAACAGAAATGAGGTCCACGCAGCCCACCGGCCTCCTCGGCGGTCCTAAGCCCCGCCCACAGCGAGGGGAGGCAGATGCAACCTACGCCTCCCCAGTGTGCCAGCCGAACGCTCGCTCGCGCGGTGGACTCCATTAACACGGCTTCCACCGTGGGCAATGGCCAGGAGCTACACGCTGCAGGGAGCAGAGGAGGAGGAGGAAATAAGGATTTGACTCCAGCCAGAATCCACCAACAGCCAATTTAGAGCCAGATCCATCTGTGTGCCCATCTCCCCGCTGGCAGCTACGCTGGGCCTGAAGGAAGTTTATGTTTGCTTAATCAAACCGGCAATAGCCCCACCCCTCCCTCGGTCTGCGTGTTCCCTCTCTCTCTAAGGCTAAAAGCTAAGTGTTTCCATCCCTGCGAAGGACAGCAGGGTGCTGTTCTCCTCAGAGCGCGTGCGCGGGGAATCCGGTGCCTCTGTCCCCCCACCGCCTCTCAAAGTCTGCTTGTTTTTTTGGGCCCCTTAAAGGGAGTTTCTGGACAACCTCATAGAACAGTGTCCGGGATTCTAAGACCAGCTTCCCATGGGGCACAGCATCAGCCGCTGTGGATTTTACTGGCTAAAGGATGTTTTCCCAGGCAGGCGCCAGGGGCTCACGCCTGTCATCCTAGCTATTGGTGAGGCTGAGATCTGAGGATTGAGGTCTGAAGACAGTCCAGGCAGGGAAATCCATGAGACTTTTATCTCCAATTAGCCACCAAAATGCCTGAAGTGGTAACTGTGGCTCAAGTGGTAGAGTTATAGCCTTGAGCAAAAAATGCTCAGCTACAGTGCCCAGACCCTGAGTTCAAGTCCTAGGAATGGCACAAATAAAGTAAAAAAAAAAAACAAAAAACAAAAAAACCCCATACATTTTCTAGCTGGGCACCGGTAGCTCACACCTGTAACCCTAACTACTGAGGCTGAGATCTGAGGATCACAATTTGAAGTCAGCCCCAGCAGCAAAGTCTGTGAGACTCTTATCTCCAATGAACCATCAAGACGCCAGAAGTGGAGCTGTGGCTCAAGTGACAGTGTACTAGTCTTGAACAGGCAAGCCAAGCAAGTGCCAAAGCCTTGAGTTCAAGGCCAACCACTGGTCAAAAGAAAATAAAATTACATTTGCTGCATGCCTATAGCTCACGATTTCCTGATGTGAGCCAGTGTCTTCCACTGTGTTTCATTTGTAAGCTGTAGGAAGCAAAAATCTCAGCCGGGCTCTGGTGGCTCACACCTGTCATCCCAGTGATTCAGTAGCCTGAGATCTGGAGGACTGTGATTCCAAACCAGCCTGGGCTGAAAAGTTCAACCAGCAAAATACCAGGCTCGGGGCATGGCTCAAGTGTTAGAGCACCAGACCTGAGCAAGAAAGTTGAATCAGAGCACAAAACCCTGAGCTCAATCCCAGAAAACCAACACAAAAACCAACACAGGGTTTCCGGTCTGAGACACACATGCCCTTGTTAGAAAGCAGAGCTAAATTGTGGCATCCAGTGTTTCTTTCTGAAATGAGGCTGTTTTCCTAAAGAATGAAAAATGTATTCAACTAACCAAGAATAAGCCGGGGAATTTAGGAAAAGAGATTTGACTTGAAAACCCTCCATTCTTTTGGAACAAGGGCAAGCCGGGCTGGGGGCGGGAGGAGGGAGGGACTGGATAATGTCAGCCAAGCTGCTTATGGGGGGGGGGGGGGGGGCTTGTGATCGGAGCGGGAGGGGACCAGGGGACCGTGCTGGCGGCTCCCTGGGGACCGTGCGAGTCAGCAAATAGCTGGCCACAAAGGCCAGCTCCAAGACCTTTGGTTAACACGCTCAAAGATGTGCCAGAAAGCTAGGTGAGCAGCACTTGCCTAGCTTTCTGGCACGTCTTGAGAGCGCAGGGGAGGGGCCGGCGGCCAGCCCCGCCCACCGGGGCAGAGGAAGCCGGCTGCACCACTGGCCTTCCTAACTAACTGTTCAACTCACCCCCAGAGACAGAAAGGCAGTGCTTTGAGTGCCGGGTACGTACGCGGCACTATGCTTTTGAGAACTGAGGTTTTCTTTTTCTTTTTTTTTTCTAGAGAAACCTGGGTTTTGAACTCAGGACCTCAGGTTCTTGCTCAGCTTTCTGGGTTTTATGGTTGTTTTGGATGGTTGTGGGGCTCGAACTCGGGGTCTGGGTGCTGTTCCTGAGCTCTTTTGCCTAAGGCTAGTGTTCTACCACTTTGAGGCACATCTCTCTCTACTTCAGATGTTTTGGTGGTTCATTGGAGATAAGAGTCTCACAGACTTTCTTGCTGGGGCTAGCTTTGAACCATGATCCTCAGATCTCAGCCTCCTGAGTAGCTAGGATTATAGGCGTCAGCCACCAGTGCCCGGCTGCAATGAAAAACAGGGCACGCATCAACAAATTACCTGGTGCCAACATTCATCCCATTAATATTTGCTGGCTTTCTTATCTGCTGCCTCATGCAACAGCTCAAGTGTGTGTGTATGTGTGTGTGTGTATGTATCCTGGGGCTTGAACTCAGGACCTGTGCACTATCCTTGAACTTTTTGCTCAAGGCTAGCACTCTCCTACTTGAACCAAAGCTTCATTCTTTCTTTTGTGGGGTGGTTTATTGGACATAAGAGTCTTATAGGCTTTCCTGCTCAGGCTGACTTCAAACCACAATCCTCAGCAATCAGTCTCCTGAGTAGCTGGGATTACAGGTGTGAGCCACTGGTGCTGGGCACCGTGCTGCCTTTCTTCTTGGTTTATCATTGTGCATTATTTTACGGTTTTCTCAGTCACAGCATTCAAGAGGATTATCCAACTTTCTTTTCCCATCGCTGAAGTATAATTACAGGTTATGTTGGTTAGGCGTTTCTTTTAATACATTTAGTAATTAGTCTATTTACTACAGCTATACAATGAACTAGAGACAAGATGTAATGCCAAGTAGGTAACTCTATAAATAAAGGCTTAGGAGGGTCTTTCCACTGTCCAACCAAATCATCTGTGGTCCCTCCAATCAGCTATGCACATCCATGTAGCATCTGGAAGGTTCCAAAGGTTTCCGCTCTCCCTGGCCGGCTTACCCCTGAGCAACCAGCCTTTCCCACCTGTGTCTTGGGCGCTCAGTGAGAATCGATTTTCCAACTAGATTTGACTTTTCATACTTTTCTCCCCACCTCCAATTTTTCATATTTATATAAGCTCCTATTTATCTCCGCAGTTTGTCGATGTCAACCTCTTAAGCCTCTAGTAATAAAGAAAACCAAATCATGGGTTAAGCATTAATATTCTTAGCCACTTGAGAAGATTAAGACTATCGGTATTAGGTTCTCAATGTTCGTATCTAGAAGGTCTAATAAATGCCAGCGGAGACACAACAGACACGTGAGGAACTACGTCACATGGGCTCGATCGCACAGAGCACGCGTCCACCCAGGCACACACATGATCGCCTGATGGGCCTCAGGCATGCAGGGACTCGGTGCTTACCAGCTTGAGAGAAAGCTTCCGATGGAAGGAGTAAACGGGAAAAAGAGAGAGAGAAAAAAAACACGCATCAGAAGAGGAGACACCGGTCGGCCCCCACCTCGAACACAACACACGATTCACCCATGTGCGCGGGTCTGTGAGCAGGCAGCGCATCTGTGCAGAAGCTCACGGGAGGGGCGGGCCCCCGATGCCCCCCTGCCCGCCCCCACCCCGCCGGTGGCCACGGGGTCACAGAGCTATGGAAAGGCCAGTCCCCGCTAACCATGGTGACTGTGTCACCTCGGCCTGGGTACAAAAGCAAGGATGCTCGCAGGGGTGGATAGGGGCTGACTCCAAGAGAAAAGTGACGGCAAGCTTCCCCCGCAGGCTTGCAACGCCAAGACCGCCACCATAGTTTTGTCTTAGGGAATTCTAACAAATGTACACTCTGGCTTTTTTTTTTTTTTTGAGGGAATGGGGGGAGTTTGGGGCAAGGTCTTACTATGTGGCCCAGGAGGGTCTTCAATTCCCTGTGGACACTGGGGCTTGTAATTCAGGCTTCAGCTTTTTGGCTCACGGCTTGGTGCTCTACTACTCGAGCCATGCCTCCAGCCTGACTTCTTGCTGGTCCATTGGAGATGGAGTCTCTCAGACTTTACTGCCCAACCTAGCTTTGGAACATGATTGTAGAGGCCCTACCCTTCTGAACAGCTGGGATCACAGGCCTGAGTCACCAGTGGTTAGTTGCAACTCTTAATCCTGCTTTCTCAGTCTCCCAAGTGCTTGCATTACAAGAGTGAAGCACAAGGCCAAATGACCCTTGGTCTTTCCTTGGCTCCTCTCTCTCTTCTCTCTGTCTCTCACGTGCTGGTACCAAGACTTGAACTCAGGACCTTGTGCTAGTGCTCTACCACTGGAGCCAAGACTCCAGACTCCAGCTGGCTGTTTGCTAGTTAATTGGAGAGAAGTCTCTTGGATTTGTTTCTCTGGTCTGGCTTCAAACCTCAATGCTCAGATCTCACTGGTCATGCTTTGGTTTTTCCTTCCTTCCTTCCCTCTTATTATGAGCCAGTCCTGGGGCTTGAACTCAGGGTCTAGGTATTTCCCTGAGCTTGTTGATTTTTTTTTTCTTAATACTAGGGCTCTACCACAGGAGCCACAGCTCTACTGCCAGCTTTTTTTGATAGTTAATTGGAAATAGGAGTCTCTTGGACTACCCTGCCCAGACTGGCTTTGAACTGCGATCCTCAGATCTCAGTCTCCTGAGTAGTTATGTTTACAGGTATTCTAGCTACTCAGGAGGCTGAGCTCAGAAGGATCAGAGTCTGAGACCAGCTGGGTCTAAAAAGTCCTTGAGACTCCATCATCCAACAAGAAGCTGGGCTGGAGGCGTAGCTGAACAGGTAAAACATCTATCCAGTTAGCAAGTGCTAGGAAGACCTCATCTCAGTCCATTATAATCTGGGCATGCCTGCCCAGATTATAATCTGCCTGCCCTCTCTGCTATGTGGCAAGCAGGAATCAAAGGACCGTGGCCCAGGCTGACCCAGGTATATATGCCTGATGTTATCTGAAAAAATAAAGCAAAAAGTCAGGCATGGCCCAAATGGTAGAGCACAGGCCTAATGACACAAGGCTCTTAGTTCAAGGCTCTTACTCCAGTACCACGAAAACAAATAAACAACCAAAAAGAAATGTGGTTCTTCATTAAAAGTAATCCCTGCCCTCTCTTAACTAGAAAATCATCATTTTGGAAGTTCAGCGTGTGATCTTCACTCAGCCGCTAGCAGCCCCCAGAGTCCAGACACCTGGCAGGAAGGATGCAAATACATATTTTGGAGACCAAGTATGATGGGAAATGCCCCCTTGGATTCTTTTTCTACCTTTGACTTTCATATCGGGCGGACAGGTGGGGACTAAAATTCTTCAACCAGATGTAGAATGTGTAGTCGTTCATGTGGCTGCCCCTGGAGCGCGGGTGTGGGCAGCGGTAAGCACCCGGCCTCCTGTGAGCTTCAGCACAGATCTGCCTAGCACAAGCTGAGTTTGTTGTACAGACAGACAACATTTATGATGTGCAACAGAGAACGTCCCCAGTCCCTTCGCCACAAAGCACACCAGCAAATCCTAATGTTTGCTCTTCCAGGATCGACTGAACACCGCAAAGAACGAACACTGGAACTAAGACTTGCCAAGATGCGCTCTACGCGGCTACTTTTGTCGTGTGCAACGATAGATTCTCTGCTTGGTGTTCTAACATCTGATTTCTAACTGAAACTACCTCCCGGGAAAGATGATTGCTTCAAAATTAAAACAAAAACAAACAAAAGCAAGAAACCAGAAACGGTGAGGACCACACCCCAATAGGAATAAGGGAATGCTGACTTTCCAAGTTCAGTTTCCTGCCGTGGCCGGTAACGGGCCACTTCAGAGGAGGGCCAGGGTGGAATGGGGGAGTTGTTTCTTGAGGACTTGAAGCCGGTTTTCCACCTGAAGTTATCAGCCAGGCAGTTTTCAGATCGCTTGACATTAGAAAGCAAATCATCTGCTAGGGGAATAATGTAGAGGCTCCGCTAGGCTTTGAGCATTGCTACGCACAGAAAGAAGCTGTCGGGCTGAGGCGACAATGAGAGAGCTTTGTGAGCCACAAGCGTCAATAACACAGGCGGGGACAGGGCCAGGAGGCCGCGTGTTATTGGACAGTCGCAGGTACTAACCTCACGAGCAAAGAAAGGGGACAGTGAAAAGGAGGACATAGGCGTGGATCTCCAAGTGAGATCGAGTCCTACGCTATTGCTCATGCGACCCCGGACTGCTTGCTCTCCAGCCTCTATGGCATGATTGCTTGGTTCCTTTGGTTACAAGCGTGGACGGAGGGTCCTCTGCCATCCAGCCACCACGTGCCACAGCGTCATTCCTGGGACTGCACCCTGCTAGCTGGGTTTTCTGGGTAAACGTTCTGCCATCAAACCACAGCCAGTGGCAGCTCAGATGGCAGTGACAACCTTTTCAAGGTTTTTCCCAGAACCAGAATGGGAAAAAAAAAAAAAAAGTGGGGGTGGGGGGAGAAAGAAATCAACCATGAGCTCGGGGAACTGACAGGATTCAGACCATTTGATAATTAATTATGAGGGAGCGTGGTGTCTTTGGCCATGCAAGTTTTCAGGAGGAAGCAGGCACTGAATTGAGACAATTCAGACTTTGGCTTTTTGCTTTGGTTGTTTCCCTTCCCCAGGGTCCGGTTCTCCCCTCTGGGAAGGGTTTGTTTGTTTGATGCTGCACCAGTCCCCAGTCTCGGTGCTGTTAGTGACCCTGCTATGACTGTGAAGCTGCGTCACAGGGAACTTACAACATAGTCCCTAGCCTCAAAGGCATACGTGGGCTTCCCTATCGTCCTCTTCATGAGGTCTCTGTGACAATACAAAGACTGAGTCTGCCAACAACCAGTGAGAGAACAAGACAAAGTAAGTACAAACATGCAAGCAACCTTGAGATCGTGACATCTCCTAAGTGCCTAGTGCAGATTCCCAATCTCTTCTCATCAACTCTGATGGCATTTTCCCCCCTTGTACGAATCACTCTAAAATATGGAAGGAATATATGTCCACATTTTAGGCACCGACACCCCTTAGGTGGGCCAGCAAAAGAAATCCAGTTATACCTTGTAGATTACACCACTGGAGAACCTAGGAGCTCAGTGCAATTTTCTTTTTCCCTTTGTTTGGTGGTGCTGGGGCTGGAACTCAGGGCCTTGAGCTTGTTAAGCAAACGCTCTACCTCTTGAGCCAGGCCCCTTAGCTTTCTTCTGAAATAATAAAGGTCTAGAGGCATACCAACCTTTAACGACGTTCAGAAACAAAAGATGTTTTACCGATGTCAGTGGCTTACAACCACATCAAAAAAATGTTTATCTGGTTTAGTTATTTAGAAACAAAATCAAATAGGCTAAGAAAGGTTTGCACAGGAAATTCACATGCTAATCACTGAAACAGGAGATTGAAATCTGCAAACGTGAGAAACTGAAGGACTAAAATCACACCTGTGTTATTCTCCTAGGATAGGCTTTCTAACTAAATGAATAAGCAAAGTGGTGATAAAGACTCATCATTTTCAGCACTGGGCCTTAAAATATTTACCTTCCAGGCGGAAGCCCTCACCCCAAACTTCAGGTTTGTGTGTTTTTTGGAAGCAAAACAAAGCTTAGCATTTCCCTCCTTCCCTCCCATTCCATTCTTTCCCTCCCTCCCTTTCTTCCTTTACTCATTGTCTTAAAGGAAAGGATGTCAAACCTGGCTCTAAGGACAGACTGTGGGGGGCTGGGGAGGTGGAGGCCCTTCTCCATGTCCTGACTGCTGTGCTGCCTGTGCACACAGGTACTTTAGCCCTCGGGAAAACTTACCATTCAGGACCTTTTGTTTTTCAAAAGCAGGTTGCTGAGCGCAGATGTGGGGATCAAGAAATGAAACTCATTTTGCTGATCATGGTTAAAAGAAAAAAAGGGGCCTGGGAAGGTGGCTCAGTGGAAGAGTGGTTGCCTCACATGCATGAGGCCCTGGGTTCGATTCCTCAGCACCACATAAGCAGAAAAAGCCAGAAGTGGTGCTGTGGCTCAAGTGGCAGAGCGCTAGCCTTGAGCTGAAGAGCTGAGGGACAGTGCGCAGGTCCAGAGTTCAGGCCCCCACAAACGACCAAAAAATAAAAAAGAATAAAATAAAATAAAGTGGCCTCTTAACACCTTTAAAAAAAGAAAAAAAAGATTTTCTTGAATCAAACCATCAGTTTCCTGTTCCATTTTTTGTTCGTTTGCAAGTAATATATTCTTTCTAACCATCATTATTATTATTGTTGTTGTTGTTGTTCTTCTTCTTCTGTGTGTAAGTTCTGGGACTTGAACTTAAGGCCTTGTACACTTTGCTTTTTTGCTCACGGCTGGTGCTCTACTTCTTGAGCCACAACTCCACTTCCAGCTTTTTGGTGGTAAATTGCAGATAGAAGTCTCAAGGACTTTTCTGCCAAGCTTGGCTTTAAATTACGATCCTCACATCTCAGCCTCCTGAGTAGCTAGTATTACAGGAGTGAGCCACCAGCACCTGGCTGTATACTGACATTTTTTTTTTTTCTTCTCTTGTTAAACACTCAGAAGATTCCATGAACACATGACACGGAGAGAAACAGGGACGAGAGACACAAGTGGTAAACGTCTGTGACTGTTCGTTCACCTGGTGCACTGTGGCAGTCCAGGGATGGACGTAACGTAAATAATGCATACTTGGAAAGGCTTTCCAGGTGCACAGGCAAGTGACTTACAGTTAAGCTAATACTTTATAGCCTTGCTCGCCCTGGTCTTTTTTTGGAAGGTCTTTGATGAATCATGAATGGAGTTTTAAAAGTCAGCATAATCGAGCCAAGAAGCTGCAGATTCCTCAGCCAGGCCTAATAATAGAGCTCAAGACAATCCATCAACCACATCTGAAGCTACACTCACTCTAACAATGGCTCTCTTGACATCATCAGGAACTTAAGTTTCTAATTCTTTCCCTGCTAGGCTGGGAAGTCTTAAGAAACGTCCCCAGCTTGGTGTAAAACCTGGAGATCTGTCATATAAATCCATGTAGAAAGGTTTTATTTCTTTATTGCTTGTTTGTGCTGGTACTGGGATTTGAACTCAGGACTTGTCACTCTTGCTTATCTTGTTTACACAAGGCTGTCACTCAACCACTTGAACCACAGATCTTCTTCTGGCTTTTTGCTGGTTAATGAAGATAAGAGTCTCATGGACTTTCCTTCCTGGTTTGGCTATGAACTGTGATCCTCAGATTTCAGCCTCCTGAGAAGCTAGGATTATAGGCATGAGCCACTGACACCCAGTCTGAACTTTATTTATTTATTTTTGTCAGCCATGGGGCTGGAACTCTAAGCCTAGGTGCTGTCGCTGAACTCTTCAGCTCAAGGTAAGTACTCTATCAGTTGAGCCATAGTGCCACTTTGGGTTTTCTGATGGTTAAATGAAGATAAGAGTCTCACAGTCTTTCCTGCCTGGGCTGGCTTTGAACCTTGATCCTTGGATCTCAGCCTCCTGTGCAGCTAGGATTACAGGTATGTAAATTTTTGCAGACTCAAAGGAATTCAAAGGTCAGGTTCTCTTAGTGGCAACCAGTGGACTGGAAATCTGAGGATTTCTCTTACCTAGTTAATTCTTCCTGGCCAATCCATGTAGCAGTTGGTATTCCAGAAGGAAAACCAAAACTTGAGACTCTAGTTTACAGCAGATCCTGGCTTGCCTTTGCTGCGTGCACAGCTCCCAGCGCGCGGCTGGTGAGAGGTGTCAGTGTGTAGGGGCGTCCACTGGCACCGTACAGCCCCTCCCCGGGGACACGACTTAAAAATGCAGCCTGTGCCAACTTTAGACATTCGGAGCAGACCTTGAACCCTGGATCCACTCTACCAGCTTCTTTGCACACCTCCAAATCTGGTGAATGTTGGGAGCTAGGCTTCACAGGAGGCTGAGACGGGTAGCTGAGTGCTCAGAACAGAGCTTACCATAGGAGGCAGGGTGCTATAGTAATTTGACCCTCCAAAGAGAAATCCAGATTTCTGGTCTTTACCAGAAATCCCTGAGGCTGGAAGTGATGGAGAGACTTTGGATTTTGGAATATGTGCACATACATACTGAGATTTCTTGGGGAGGAGAGAGAGGGATGGGGGGGGGCAGGACCCTGCTCTAAACATGAAGCTCATTTCTCTTTCCTATGTATCTCACGCACACAGCTTGAGGTCATGTTAGGTAATATTTTTAGCATACCTGTGGCTATTTGGGGGTGGTGGTTGGGGCTTGGGCATGTTGGGAAAGTGAGAGCTCTACCTCTGAGCTACAGCCTGTGCAGTGAGCAGAGGGGCTGAATTTTCCCCTGGGGTATCTGTCACATCAGCCCTCAGAAGGTTTCAGGTTCTGGGGCATTTCCAGGGTGATCTGTGGACTAGGGTTGCTTGTGCATGCAGGTTCCCCCACACCCCCCGTCAAGAGACATTGTATCAACATCCTATAATTTCACTAAAATAACAAAACCACACTGTCTTACCCACTTCCCCTTTGAGCTGAGGCCCAGCTCAGGCGGGGAATCTATGCGACACGCAGCTCCTGTGATTAGTAAGCGTGCAGTTCTGTGCATATGCTCACTTCCAATTCCCCATCTCCTACTCCATTAGTTTTAGAAACCAAATCTAAGTTTTCTTTTTATTGGTGAAATCAAAAGTGAAAAATTAACAACAGATGCTTTAAAGGGGAAGAGAGCACCAGTCCTTCCTTCTAGAAAGTACTACGAGAGAACTGAGGATTGGCTGGCCTTTTGGTCCCCTCTATCCATCCATCATTGATGTATCCATTGATCTATGATGCGTCCATCTATGATCAATCCATCCATCCATCCACTCATCCATCCATCACCATTTGATCAATCCACTGTGATCCATCCATTATTCATCTATTCATCCATCCATTATTGATGGATGTATCCACCCTGTTTCCTTCTTTTTCTCCTCCTCTTTTAGTCTGTCTTCTTTCCAGCTACACAGCAACAAATCCTAGGTTCCATTTGTGCTTAATGTCGCGCAGGGGGGGGGGGGGGACACAAAGAATGCATTCATTCACAAATAAAAATCAGTTACGCAGAACAAAACATGCAAACGCAAGAGCGCCAAGAGATGCCGGATTCCGCAGCAGAACTTACCCCGCGCTTTAGGCTCCTGAAGCAGTGGATTTTGGGTTTGGAGATCATGAACTCGTTGAAGCGATGGGAGAGGGGTTCCTTTGGCTGCTTGGGAGACTGGGGGCCGTTGGGAACAGCAGAAGGTGAGCCAGAGGCAGGGGGGGGAGGGGGAGGGGGAGGCTGATGGGGGGACGTTAAAAGGGACATGAGCTACATGTGAGAGATGGAGTAGCGACAGAATAAAATCAGAAACAAGAAGACATAAACAAAAATAAGGATCAAATCATATTTGAAATCCAAAGCAAGTAAACACACACACAAACCATTAAATATTTAGGCCATGGTCCAAAAGGAAGCACGTGGGAGGCGCCAGACGACAGGGTGAAAGTGAGAGATTTGGTAAGTAAAGCGACAGAGGACCAGAAGTACCCGACACGAAGCTCATGCGACATTCACGTGCAGGCTACGGTGCTCATTAGTGTTTCCCAAACCAGTAGAAGCGGGAGGGAGAGGGAAATGTCTCTACACCGCCTAAACTAACACAGCTTGATGGAGGGGGGGAGGAGAAGGCTAAGGATGTGAAAATAGCACCAGTCTTTGGGAATGACACGTCTGATCGTTCTAAGGTTAAAGCAGTCATATTTTTTTTTCCAGGTTAACGCGTCATGCACCTATGGACCACACCACGGAGAGAAAATGGAAATGCTCACGGAAACACCGGTTAACATGAACTCAAAACCCAGTTATGATTGAGGCCCCGGGAAGGCAGTCAATTAGACGTGCGGATAAAAGGTTATGGACCCCTCTCTCCCAGCTGAGGCGGCCAGTGGTACAGGAGGACTAGTCAGAGGTGGCAGGGATGGTGTGAAGGCACCACACGGTCAGTCAGTGGTTAGTGTGGGTGACACGGCAGGGTGACAAGACATCTGAAGTCAGACAAGGGCCATGGCAAAGACACCACCACCGAAAGGAAACACTGTTCTAAAACACAACAGCACGCTCGCTAGCTTTTTGTCTTGTTCATTTCCTTCGGAAACCTCGGGTTCAAGGTCTTAAGTTTTACTGAGACTACAAGATAAACTCATAATCTGTACACTTGATCCAATTCATTTTCGCACCGAGCTCGAACCACCAGTACCTTGTTCTTCTTGATGAATGGCCAGAGCTTTCCTTTGGCTTTGCCGGCCAGTTTGAGCTCGGGTTTGCCTTCCCCTCTGGAATTGGAAAGGCTGTTGTTGGACACTGTGCGCTTCATGGGCTGAGTGTAATCCTCAAATTCAATGTCACCAGGAGGCTCAAATCCTGATTTATAAGCCTCTACCACCAGCTGGGAATCCTGAAATAAGACCCACCAGGGAAGTGTCAGATGCACGCACATACTTTTTATCCCACCAGTCACTATGACTCATACACACGGATGCTAAGAAAAGGATGGAGATTCCTAAGGGACTTTTGGCTGGTGACATGTTTATCACCAGCAAAGGTTGTGTTCTCATGCAGAGGAAGGCTCTGTCTTTACTTGAGATCCTAGTGACTTGCAACAACCCTGTTTCTGCATTTGGAAAAACAAGTATCAGCTAAAATGCAGCAACAGCTAAGGTGCCGGTGGCTCACGCCTGTACTCCTAGCTACTCAGGAGGCTGAGATCTCAAGATTGCACTTCAAAACCAGCCAGGGCAAGAAAGTTCATGCGATTCTTATCTCCGATTAACAACCAAAAAGATAAAAGTGAGCTGGGTGGGCGCTGGTGGCTCATGCCAGTAATCCTAGCTACTCAGGAGGCTGAGATCTGAGGATTGCAGCTCAAAGCCAATCCAGGCAGGAAAGTCTGTGAGACTTTTCTTTCTAATCAACTACCAAAAAGCTGGAAGTGGAGCTGTGGTTCAAGTGGTAGAGTGGTAGCCTTGAGCAAAACAAAAAAAAATTTAGGAACAGTGTCCAAGCCTTGAGTTGAAGCCCTAGGATGGACAGACACGCACAATAAACACAACACACACACACACACACACACACACACACACCTCTGGATGCATGGCTCAAGTACAAGGCCTTGAGTTCAAACTCTAGTACTGAAATAAAGAAAATAGGGCCAGGCAGCAAAGAGCTCAGGGACTGTACAGTACCCAGGCCTTGAGTTCAAGCCCCATAATGGGGGAGATCGTCAGAAGGCTGATACAGTGATCCATGGAGCTTTGTAAGCGTTCTTAGGGAACTCTGTAAAAGTACTTTGTACTTTCCTTAGTGTTGCTGAAAAATGCTAAGACCACAGAAAGTAATTCCCCACTTTTTTTTTTTTGTCGGTCGTGGGTCTTGAACTCTGGGCTCAGCTCTTCAGCTCAAGGCGAGCGCTCTACCACTTGAGCCACACAACATCACTTCTGGCCTTTTCTGCTTATGTGGTGCTGAGGAATCGAACCCAGGGCCTCATGCATGCAAGGCAAGCACTGTGCAACTGAGCCACCTTCCCAGCCCACTCCCACCTTGAGAAGGCCAGCGGAGGTCTCCCTGGAAAGTGGGGGTAGGGCACCAGCTCAGTACTCACGTTCTTCTGATCAATGGCTTCGGCTGCCTTTACAATTTCATCCAGGCACTTGCCAATGATGGGGATCACCTGCCGGTCCACCTCTGCGTACGTCTTCATGGACTGCCCCATCCTCACGATCCTCCGTTCCTCCATCTCCTGGATTTTCTGCAACACCAGATTTTGTGTAAAATAAACAGCCCTGTTACTACTTAAGGGCAAGGCCAGTACTGGGATTTGAATTCAGGGCCTTGAGCTCTTGCTCAGCTTGCTTGCTCATGGCTGGCACTCTTCCACTCTAGTCATACCTCCAGTCTAGCTTTTTGGCTGGTTAACTGGAGATGGAGTCTCACAGACTTTTCTGCCCAGGCTGACTTCGAACCTCGATCCTCCAGCTCATAGCCTCCTGAGTGGCTAGGATTATAGGTATGAGCCACCTATACCTGGCAGGGAGTTGCTATTTGTCAGCGTTGTCAGCTCTAATGATGTTGGACTCTCAGCAACCTATTTTTTAATTTTTGGTTGGCTGTGGGGCTTGAACTCTGGGTCTGGACGCTGTCCCTGAGCTCTTCAGCTCAAGGCTAGTGCTCTTCCACTTGAGCCACAGTGCCACCTCCGGCTTTTTCTGCATATATGGGGCTGGGGAATCAAACTCAGGGTCTCATATGTGCAAGGCAAGCACTCTACCACTGAGCCACCTTCCCAGCCCTTAGCAACCCTTAAGTGTACTGTGTTGCTATCCTGATCAGTTGTATTCACACTTTATAAATTGTTAAAATGGGATGTACAAAATCATGGGCTTAGCATTAATTGCCACCCTGAATCCAGTTTCAGTAAGAACCCCATCTGGATAGTTTTATTATTCATATAATTTGGTAACAAACTTCAAAGGTTCTTCTACCTTCCGTCCCCTACTTGACTTATTTCTTTTTCTTTTGGTGCTGGTAGTGGGGCTTCAACTCAGGGCCTTCAACTCTTGCTTGATTATTCTGCTCAAGGCTGGTGTTCTACCACTTCACTCTGGCTTTTTGCTGGTTAGATGGAGATAAGAGTCTCATGAAGTAGCACTGGTGGCCCATGCCTGTAATCCTGGCTAATCAGGTGAATGAGATCTGAGGATCATGGCTCAAAGCCAGCCTAGGAAGATAAATGTGAGACTCTGATTCCACTTAACCAGCAAAAACCCAGAGTAAAGCTGTTGCTCAAGTGGTAGAATGCTATCCTTGTGAAATAAATCAAGAAAAGAAAACAAGAGTCTCATGGATTTTTCTGCCAGGCTACCTTTGAACCTTGATCCTCAGATCTTAGCCTACAAAGTAGCTAGGATTGCAGGCATGAGCCATCAGCGCTCACCTTCACTATTTTACTTTTACCCAATACATCTGGGTAGCTATGTCAACTCAACACTAGTATCCCCACCTGCTACATCTTAGATGTTTTTGTGGCTGTGGGTATAGACTCCAAGGAGCAAATAGGCCCCTCTCCCCAACAACTGAACATGAAATCATAAAAGATTCCCCAAATATGAAAACCTGTATTTGTTTTCTCTCCTAAAAAATTTTTTTTGGTAGGGGGCGTGGAACTGGGCCTGGGACTCAGAGCCTGCAGCATGCTAGGCCGGCCTCCACAGAGCTGTAGCTCCTGCCCTTCCCCCGCCATTTCTGACAACCTAAAATAGCCAGAAGAAAACAATGGAAAGGGAAGAACTTTCATTTGTTCAAATCCCACAACTGGATGAATGCCACTTTGTCTGCTGAAGTTTAGCTGGCACTTTTTTGGAGCTCAGATGTCCTTTTAGCAAAGGGAGTAGAAATCTCTAAGAGTCATCGTTTAAGACTGGCTGAGCCCTGCCAGTGCTCCTGTCTCTCAGTCATCCTAGCTCTTCAGGAGGCTGAGATCTGAGGATCACAGTTCAGTAGGTCATGAGTCTTGAACTCAGGGCCTGGGCATGGTCCCTGAGCTCTTGTGACTAAGGCTAACACTCTACCACTTTTGAGCCACAGTGCCACGTCCGGTTTTCCAGTGGATCCCTGGAGACAATAGGTCTCATAGGCTTTCCTGGGGATGAGGGTATGGAGGACTCACCCGGAAGATGCTGGGGATGTGGGTGTGATAGTACTCGTGCTGCTCGTGGTTGAATTTCTGCAGGATGGACGAGTAATCTGCTTTGCTGTCCTCTGCCATTTGGTGCCGGATTTGAGCCTGCTGCCGTGCCTTAGAACAAGAGCCAGAGAGGCCTCGTGTTTACACATCCTAGATAAAAGCCTAGGGCTGCCACTGGGGCGAAAGTTAACTCTGGAGACCGGGAGCTGAGGGCGGGATGGGGGTGGAGGGGTGCTGTTTGCAAAGCCCTGTCTAGAATGTCCACTAACTTTAGGTAAGGAAACGTACTGCCAGTCACCACACCCCGCACTGCTGTGGGATGGGACGTGGCTTCGACTTTCCACACGGACACAAGCACGGCTTCGGGCCAGCTCACACGCTCCCCTTTCCATTGGTCCTGAGGGAACCTATACATAGGGTGCAGGGGAGGGGGCTGCGCTGGACTTAAAACCTGGCTTTTTCGCTCAAGGCTGGTGCTCTACCATTTGAGCCACAGCTCCACTTCTGGCTTTTTGCTGGTGAACTGGAGATAAGAATCTCATAGGCTTTTCTTCCTAGACTGACTTTAAGCTACAATCTTCAGATCTCAGGGCCTGAGTAGCTAGGTTTACAAGCGAGAACCACCAGCACCTGTCTGGAACCTATATATTTAAAAATCAAATCTACTGTGGAGTTCATGAGCTAAGAAGGCCTATTCCACGCTGCTCAAAGTGAGCCTGGCTAAAACCCTTCAACTATATTTACTTTTGGTGTAAGTTTTAAAGAAAGGTGTTTGGTATACTATTTGCACTTTTTATGTCTTTGTTTTTTTTTGGTATTAATTGTGTTTAGAGTACTTTGTAGATTTTTCTCCTTAAAAAATCAATAATAAGGGCTGGGAAGGTGGCTGAGTGGTAGAGTGCTTGCCTTGCATGCATAAGACGCTGGGTTCGATTCCTCAGCAGCACATAAGTAGACAAAGCCGGAAGTGGCACTGTGGCTCAAGTGGTAGAGCACTAGCCTTGAGCTGAAGAGCTGACGGACAGTGCCCAGACCCAGAGTTCAGGCCCCGCAGTAATAAGCTAGGCACTGGTGGCTCACGCCTGTGATCTTAGCTACTTAGGAGTCTCTGAGGATTGGTGTTCGAAGCTAGCCTGGGCATAATGAGACTCTTATCTCCAATAAACACCTTTAAAAAGCAGGAAGTAGCACTGTAGTTCAAGTGGTAGAGCACCAGCCTTAAGTGTAAAAGCTACCGGACAGTGTCCAGGCCGCAGTACACACACACACACACACACACACACACACACACACACACACACACACCGTCTATACCCCAAGGCACCTTCCACAAATACAAATACGGAGACTGATATGCCCTTCATTATCCCTCCCTAGCCCACACCTGTCTGCAGCACGTTATGTCCTGATGCTAATACAATCTGAAGTCCACGTGGCGTAAGCCCATCCCCTGCCAGGTGAAGACACAGCCTGGCCCTCAGGTGACTTGGCCATCTCACTAGATGGTGCCAAAAACACGCCAGAGAGGGGCAGCGTTCCAACGTAAACAGGCAACTTTTGGGTTGTCGGTGCTTTTCCTCTACTGATCGCATGTTCTGGAAGAGTAAGAGCTGCTATTTCTGAAAGGAAGCAGCAAAGCAGGTAGGAAGGATGTCCAAATGTAAACATGAAGAAGAAATGCTGAAGCCTTTTGTCCCATTCTTTTATTTGGGTGGGAGTAGTGGCCGAACTGGGATTTGAGTCCGGTGGTTGCTAGGCAGGTGCTCTACCATTTGAGCCACGCCCCCAGCCCCATCTCTGGCCCTTTCTGGTTTTCTCCCATCTCAAGTCCGAGGTGGATGTCCTGCCTGTGCCTGGAAGGCAGGATCCACCCTTGCTTCCTCCGCTCGCTGTGCGCAGGTGCGTGGGGTGGGGTGTGTGTGTGTGTGTGTGTGTGTGTGGTGAATCCAGTATGTACTTCCCTGTCGTCTGCCTGCCGTCACTTCCCAAATGAAAGTGAGCCGGCAATGTCCCCAGGTACGGCTTTCTGACTCCGAGGTCTTCTCGGTTCCTTAAGGCCCTAACAAAACTCAGTACCAGCTGATGTATCTCATGGAAGCCTGGTTTCTTTCGGCCTCCAGTTCCTCCTCTTTGCTGCTGGCCTGAGTCCCTTCCTGACCATATGCTGGGTTCTGCTTCCCACGATGCCCAAATGCTACCTGCAGCCACCTTTGAAGCGCCTCTCCTCCCAGAATGACAGCCTGGCCTCCCCAGAAGCCTTCCATCTGCCCCCCCACCCCCAACAGTCATTTCAATGACCTTCTATTGTTTAGTACTTTATTTTGATTATATATACATATAAAAGAGCAGAGGCATTCCCACGGAGACTCCAAATGTCTACAACTTTCTCTGTTTCATTCATACACCTTCCTCAGAAAGCCCCACAAAAGCCCCTGCGGCTGTCTCCCCAAGTCTTCTGCAAAGAATAGCACACGTTGTAAGACAGAGTTATTTTGGGGAAGAAGGCTTTTTGATACAGTCTATTAGCTCTCAGCCTCCTGAGTAGTTACAATTACAGATGTGCCTGACTTTCCTTTCCTTTCCTTTCCCTCCTTGCTTTCTTCCCCCCACTCCCCCCCAGTGCTAGTTCTGGGGCTTGAACTCAAGGTCTGAACACTGTCCCCAAGCTTTTGTGCTTAAGGGGGGTAGTACCCTACCACTTGAGCCAGAGGTCCACTTGCAACTTTTGTGGTGGCTAATTGGAGATAAGAGTCTCATGGACTCTCCAACTCAGGCTGCCTTTGAGCAGTGATCCTCAGATCTTAGCCTCTTGAGAAATTAGGATAATAGGCCTGAGCCACTATGCCCAGCTTTGCCTGGCTTTTTTTTTTGGGGGGGGAGGGGGGCAGGAAGAGGAGTCCATCGGGGCCTAGGCACTGTCCCTGAGCTCTTTTGCTCAAGGCTGGTGCTCTACCACTTTCAGCTATAGGACCATTTCTGGTTTTCTGATGGTTTATAAGACTCTCATGAACTTTTCCGCCTGGGCTGGCTTTGAACCACCATCCTCAAATCTCAGCCTCCTGAGTAGCTAGGATTACAGGCGTGAGCCACCAGTGCCTGGCTTGCCTAGCTTTCTATATGTAAAAATTTAAGGTTATTTTATTTTGTCAAAGAGAGAAGAAAAAGTGATACATTTTAATGCTGAGTTCCAGAAGAGGGGGGCTTGTCTGTGGAGGGTAGGGAGAGAGAGCAAGAAAAAGAGGAGAGAGGGAGAGGGGAGGGAGAGGGAGGGAGGGAGGAAGAGAGGGAGAGAGAGGGAGAGGGAGAGAGAAAGAGGGGGAGAGGGAAGAGGGAGGGAGAGAGAGAGGAGGGAGGGAGGGAGGGAGATGAAACCATTCTTTGCCCAGAGTCCATGTTGTTGTACAAATAAATGGCATATTTAAAATTTCCAGGAAGCTGTTGCAACTAAGAATACATTTTCAAGTTCCAAACTACAAATGCATTAAAAAAAATTCCTCTTCAGAGTGCAGGAGTTCTGTCAGACCTTAGACTGAGGGCTTCCAAAATAACGAGTCTGTCTTTGATAAATTACGAGGGAAGTTAAAACACAAAGCAGAGAAAAGCTTCAAAATAAGTTAACCGAAGAAATCTGCTTGAGCTATGCCAGCAATTTCCTGAGCTTTTCTTTGCCCGGGGACTGTAGTTACTGGTCCTCAGAGGGAGGCCTGGGAGAGGAAGATAGCAGAGGAGACCAGCATCCCAATTCTCCCGGGCCATTCACTTGCTAAGCAGTGTGAAGAATAGGCCTTCTGTTCCCCAGTACCTCAGTTGCCCACTTTGGAAAATACAACTGGGAAGAGCAAGTTACTCAGGTAAGCAGCAACTTGGCTGCTGGAGGAGACGGGCTGACCCGTCCATCCCTAATGCTGGCCCACGGCCAGGGCAGGCAAAGCCAACGTGTGAGCCGGAGCAGAGGTGAGACAGGATCATGCCTCCCAGGATGCCCAGAGACACATTCCCTTATGGTACACCCCCCCCTCCCTCTTTCTTCCTTTCTTTCCTTTTAATCTTCCTTCCCCTCCCTCCCCTCTTCCTTTCTCCCTTCCCCTCCCATCCTTCGCCCCCTTCTCCCTCTCCCTTTGTGTTGGGGTGGGAATTTGGGGCCTGGATGTGATCCTTTAGTTTTCTTTGTTAAATCTTGTTTTATTGTAAAGATGCTGTACAGAGGGGTTAGTTTCATGAGTACATTTCTCTCAAAGCATTGTTACCCCCTCCTTTGTTTTTCTCCTACTATCCCTTCCCTCCTCCCCCTCTCCTACTCCTTCTCCCTCCTCCCCAATCCTTCAGCTTTTGCATTCAAGGTTGGCACTCTACATCTGAGCCACAATTCTCAACTTCTGGCTTTTTGGTGATTAACTGGAGATATGAGTCTCGTGGACTTTCCTGCCCAGGGTGGCTTTGAACTATCACCCTCAGATCTCAGCCTCCTGAGCAGCTAGGATTTCAGGGATGAGCCACTGGTGCCCTTCTCTCTTTGTCTTTGTTGTTGTTGGTCATGGGGCTTGAACTCTATTCTTGGGCACTGTCCCTGAGCTCTTCAGCTCAAGGTGAGTGTTCTACCACTTGAGCCACAGCGCCACTTCCTTCTTCTGAGTGGTTTACTGGAGATAAGAGTCCCATGGACTTTCCTGTTCGGGCTGGCTTTGAACTGTGATCCTTAGATCTCAGCCTCCTGAGTCGCTAGGATGACAGGCATGAGCCACCGGTTTCAGGTGCCTGGTTTCTCTTTGTCCTTAATAGACAACTACACCCAGTCCATGGCTCAGCTCAGCAGGCTCGCAGCCAGAGCAGAGAGTCTAGACTCCACTGGAAGGCAAGGTCTGCCTGGGTGATGACCTCCCCCCTCCACTGCCGGGGTCTGTAGTTATTATGAAGAACAGACACCCTAAGATCACGTTGCAAGCCAGCTTGGGAAGATGTACATTCTGTGAGAGACTCAACAATGACTCACGTTCCACGAGCCAGGGAAACAGACACCACGCTTCCCCTGTGGAGTAAATGAGACATGTTTGGTGCAAGGAAAGCAGCTACTCAGCCTTAGTTTCCAAGGTTGTTGTTTGTGGGTTTTTTGT